GAGACTGTGATCGGTTGGCGCGGTAGATATTCAGGGACGGTTGGTGTTTTGGGGTTGTGCGTGTTGTAAGCGTTGGCGGTGTTCTTGCAGAGATGTCCAGTGACCAGAGTGCGGAAGGCCTTCTGGAAGATTGTGATATTTTCAGTCCCTCTCGAGATGATGTTCTGGCGATGGCGGTTAAAATGGCGAATGTTCTGGAGGAACCCGGACACGACCTGGAGGCCGACTTTCCCAAAAGTAATTCCCTCATCACTGAACATTCTTAGCTAACCCCCCCTCCCCCACCATACATAAAAGGTCCCACTCCGCATGCTCTGTCCCTTTCTACTTCAAGTACAGAAAACCACATGTTGGTGCTCCTAACAATCAATGGCGCTCCTAGCTTCCTGTGCGGGGGTGACAACGCTGCGTGTGCTGAACTGAAACTGTTTTACATCGAATGGAAAGCTCACCTCATGTTTGTTGTGCAGATACATCGGACGTCAGTCAGAGCGTGGATTACTTGTTTGACTGCGGCCTGGTCGGGGCAGACGAAGCGCAAGAACAAGAATCATCGCGGGTGGTGAAGAAAGTGAGTCATTCGGAGTGGAGAATTGGGGGGCTGAGAATCTGGGGGCTGAGACTTGGGAGGTTGGGGGGCTGAGACTTGGGTTTGGGGAGCAGAGAACGGGGGTGCTGAGTTTGGGGAGCAGAGAACTGGAGTGCTGAGTTTGGGGAGCAGAGAACGGGGGTGCTGAGTTTGGGGAGCAGCGAACGGGGGTGCTGAGTTTGGGGAGCAGCGAACGGGGGTGCTGAGTTTGGGGAGCAGCGAACGGGGGTGCTGAGTTTGGGGAGCAGCGAACGGGGGTGCTGAGTTTGGGGAGCAGCGAACGGGGGTGCTGAGTTTGGGGAGCAGCGAACGGGGGTGCTGAGTTTGGGGAGCAGCGAACGGGGGTGCTGAGTTTGGGGAGCAGCGAACGGGGGTGCTGAGTTTGGGGAGCAGCGAACGGGGGTGCTGAGTTTGGGGAGCAGAGAACGGGGGTGCTGAGTTTGGGGAGCAGAGAACGGGGGTGCTGAGTGATGTGCAGATCCCCTTGTTGTGATGTCATAACGTAGACTCTTCATTTCCTGCAGGGTCCCAAGCGCATGATTCTATCGGAAAGGGAGAGCTCCTCGCGGGACTCCGCCTCCAGCCAGCACACGAGCACACACCTCAGCTACACGTACGGCGTGAACGCATGGAAGTCCTGGGTGCAGCGGAAGTACGAAGGGGGAGAGCCGAGCAAAGGAGAGGAAATCCGCTTTGGACGTGAGTCAGAAGAGACGCATTTCATGCGCCGTGTCTTGTTGCGTTTCTCTGTGTGTTCGGATCTATAAAACGTTGATGCGTTGTATCCCTTCTTCAGCAAAGCCCATGCGTATAAAGGAGGACATCCTGGCGTGCACGGCTGCCGAGCTGAACTACGGCCTGGCGCAGTTTGTGAAGGAGATAACGCGACCGAACGGAGAGCGCTACGAGCCGGACAGTATATTTTATCTCTGTCTCGGTATACAGCAGGTGAGCCCTTCGTGGTCCTGACACTGGCGGTATTAACCCTTCACGCTCTCCGCGTGTTGTATGAAGCCTTCGGTGTGTGTTCCTGCAATGGCGTGCGACATGCATGTATCAGTCTGATTTCCTGTGCGTTGTGTTCTAGTATCTCCTGGAGAATAACCGGATGGTGAACATCTTCACAGACCTGTATTACCTGACCTTCGTCCAAGAGCTGAACAAGATACTGACCGCCTGGCACCAGAACCTGACGCCGAGCAGTAAGAAATGGGGATAGGACTCACCTGATACGGGGGGCGATGAGGCAACACCCCTATATACCTAGAGATGCGGGGGCGGGGCTAAGGTGTGCACAGGTGGTGATGGGTGTGTAGGTGACGGCTCATCGGGCATTTCCCTGACATAGAGATTCGG